CCCCCCCCCCCCCCCCCCCCCCCGTCATATAACACAAGTAACTTATGCTCCTCAGCTCACTCAGGTGACTGACGGGCGGTGTGAGCGTCTGCTGTGGCCGCAGGCTGGGTTGGGTGAGGCTGACCAGCTAACCCCCCAGCTGTAAGGAAAGAATTATTTATCTTGCTTTGCTGATAAAAAGACTGAGGCAGGGAGTCTTATAGCTTGTAAGGAAGATGACTGTGTGGCGCTCAGCTCTATACAGTGAAGGAGGACACAGGTCCCATGAGTGCCCCCTCCATCCGCCAAGGCCCCCCCCTTGCAGTGGAGCCGCAGATGGGTAGCCTGGCACTCACACTAACCCCCTTTTCTCTTGTAGCTTCTCCCTCACATTCCTCCCATAGTGGCCTCTCTAGTCAAGGAGGACTCGAACTCTGGGGCCAGTTGCTTGGAGCAGCTGGCAGAGCTGGTCCACTGCATGGTGTTTCGGTTCCCAGGCTTCCCCGACCTGTATGAGCCTGTCATGGAAGCCATTAAGGTGAGTGGACGGCCTTCTCGGAGGCTATACCATGGCTTGGGAGCAGCTCCCATTACCTGAACCCCTGCTGTTTCTTGTCACCTCTCTGGGTCTCAAAGACTGCCTTCAGTGAGCCTTCCCTGGGCTAGTGTCCACGTCACTTCCTTGCTCAGGTTTCGGCAGGGCCTCTCAGTGACTCCTGCAGTACCAGCACTGTGTGTCCCATTTCTCTGTGTGTCCCGAGCACTTCAGAACAGGGGTGACACCTGGCTAATAGGGCTAGGCTGGTGTCCTGCCCTCAGCCAAGCTGGGGACCCAGGCACAAAGCAAACCAAGATGTCTTCCTGGAGGAGCTTTTGGAGCCCATTGGGGTAACAGACCTGCTTACAGGAAGTCTAATCTAAGGACCATTGCTACAGAGAGAGGGGGGGCGGGGGCAGGGGGGGTGAAGGCCTCTTTCAGAGGCTCTGATGTGATGTTCACTCCCACAGCAGACCCAATGCCCAGGACACTTCTCTACAGGACATCCGGGCATGTGTGTTCAGACAGAGACAGCTTTTCCGTCCGTCCATGTGTGTGTGTGTTTATATATGAAGAGGCCAGAAGAGGGCATCGGAATCCCCTAGAGCTGGAGACCAGTAGTTGGGAGCCACCTCCTGCTGTGCACGTGGGAACTGATAACCCTTGCAAGAGCAGCTCGTGCCTTTAACTGGTGAGCCATCTCTCCAGCCACATGTGCCTTTAACTGGTGAGCCATCTCTCCAGCCACATAACAGACATCTTTTAAAGGACAGAGCTGATCTTGCAAGAGAATTGAGGGGAAACCTCCAGGGAGCCCCAAAGGAAGAGAAAGCTGAGTTCTCAGATGGTGAGGGGGCTGAGGATAATGCCTTGGAGCCAGGGTAGGAGGATCAGTGACATGACCAACTTCAAGCTCAGAGGGGCTTGAACTGGTGTTGAGAAGCTCCGATTAACCTCCACTAGGGAGTGGAACTATGAAGCCCCTCGAAAACCAACAAAAAGGCTTCCGTGTTGATAAGAAGAATGGTCTAGGGAAAAAAATACATGCGGTCCAAAACAGAAATTGGGAAAACTTTTCTGGCTTGATGTAGACCCTAGACAAGGAAAAAAAATAAAAAGGAATTTGTAACCACTAGGTTTAGGGTTTGAAAGACAGGTCACTAGGTGGTGTTGTGGGTATTGTTATCTGTGTAGGCGTTTGATTTAAAAAAAGTATAAACTCACAATACCCAAGGTCTGTCTGGTAGACATAAAACAAGCCAGCAATATCAGGCTGTATTGTGGATGAGTTCATCTAGAAATTACTGTTGTAAAATCCTTCCCAGGAGCCAAAAGCTGTGTCCTTCTCTCAAGGCCCCAGTGACAAACCCAGGCACGAGTCTGCCCAAGTTCACTCCTGGGAACCAGCGGCTTTGTAGGCTTCTCTGCAGTGCATAGGAGAGGGGCTACTGACCCGTGTGGGTGATTCTCCTGTAACTCCACCTGGAAAGCCTTTACCCAGCAGAGATGAGGCCTTCTCTGTGGCCATACAGGAATAGCCCTCCTCGAGTCTTCCCTAACCGGTGTACTCTAGCCTTTCCTTAAGGCCACATGCAGTTAAGGCAGAGGTGTCTACAACAGGTGGTGGGTGATGGGGAACTTCTGGAAAGCCTGCTGGAGTGGAGGAGAGCAGTTTGACCTTGACTATTAGGGTCTGGAAGGAAGACACTTCAGATCTGTGTGGGAAGGACCCACAGGTGGGGAAGGTGAGTCTAGTCTGGTAATAGTCAGTGGTTTGCAGGGGGCTTAGAAAGGCCTTGAATCCAGGCAGAATCACTCTTCTTTGCCCAGTAGATCTGAGTTGCCCAGGCTGGCCTTGAACTTGTAGCCTTCCTTCAGCCACTACTCAACTGGCTGGGATGACAGGCAGGTTTTTCTTTTCTGTTTAAAAAAATGTCATCCGTGAGAGATGACTGATGTAGCTGATAAATGATCCTGGGGAAGGATCAACAAGAATGTTAACCGTGGGGTCAAGGCTGGGTGGGGGCTTTGCTGCCTTGGACTAATCTAGGGCTCTGTGCTCAGCGGGAAGGATGTGTGCCGGCTCATTTTATGTCAACCTCTGAAGCAAGTGTGGTGCTTTGAAATAGGTAAGACCTGCATAGACTTGTGTTTGATGCTTGGCGCATAGGGTTCGGCACTCTTAGGAGGTGTGGCCTTGTTGGAGGAAGTGTGTCCCCTGTGAAGGAAGGCTTTGAGGTGTCACAGAGGCTCAAGCCACTCCCAGTTATAGCGGTCGCTCCTGTAGGTGCCTGTGGATAGGGATGTAGAACTGTTACCTCTCCTGCGCCATATCTGCCTGGATACCGCCGTGTTTCCCACCATGATGATAATGGATAAAACCTCTGGAACCGCAAACCAGCCCCAGTTAAATGCTTTCCTTTATAAGAGTCGCCCTGGTCACGATGTCTCCTTACAGCAGTCGACACCTGAATTAAGGCACCACGGTAGAGTCATCAGAGAGGAGAGAGCCTCCTTGAGAGAATGTCTTCAGATCCCATTGTAGACAAGCCTGTAGGCGTTTTTCTTAATTAGTGGTTGATGTGGGAGGCCAGCCCCTTGTGGGTGGGGCCATCCCTGGGAAGGTGGGAGAGTGGTTCTGGGTTCTATGAGAAAACAGGCTGAGCAAACCAGTTACCAGCACCCCTCCATGGCCTCTGCATCAGCCCTTGCCTCCAATGTCTCGCCCTGCCTGAGTTGCTGTGCTGACCTCCTTCAGTGGATGGTGGAAGTGTGAGCCGAGTGTGTCCTTCCCAAGCTGCCGTGGTCATGGTGTCATCACAGCAGCGAGAACCCTAAAAGGGCAGAAATTGGTGCCAGGGTCGTGGGGCCTTGCTGTGACAGACCTGATCATGTTTTTAGATGGACTGTGGAAGGACTTTTGGAACTTTGGTCAAGAAAAGTATAAGGGCTCAATGAACTCTTCTGTGGGAACGGGAAAGAAAAGCTAGAAATGGCGGTAGGAACGCCGACAGCGGAGCCTGGCTTGTGAAGGTCCAGAGGGAAGACTGAGAAGGCCGCAGGACTCTCCGGGCCACTGAATATTTGCCACTCTGAATTCAGATTCTGTGACATTATCAGTGATTGAGGTGAAATCTGGGAAGTGTTTCCTGAGAGTCAGCACACGGAAGCTGTGTGCCAGAGGTGGCCAACGTTGTACCTCACCCTGGCAGCTGAACTCGGTCGTGCAAGGGTCTCCCAGGTGGTACTGATTTTGAAGGCATTAAAGGGGGTCGTGGAGAGCAGCTGAGGCTTGACGCTGAGAGGCCAGGAGAGGCCGCTGATGAAGGAAGGTTGTTCCTTCAGGAGCAGTTGAAAGCCCAGGATAGAAGGGGTCATGCAGAGAATGCGGGGCTTGGCGCCAGGAAGAGCGCCTGGGAGACACGGGTGAAAGAGAGGCCCAGTTGCCGCAGAGATTCCGGCATTCTGGAGGTGCCGGTATCTGGCTTGGGTGACCACCAGGAAGAGCACCAATGGTGGAGTGGGGCTAGCTGGCGCCTGGGAAGATAATCCGTTTGCTGCAGAGGGAGGAACCAGAGACTGGCCCAAGCCCTTTGGGAGGAGTCTGGAAGATTGAGTGGATCCCAGACAGTGGATGTTAGAGTTTACATAGTTGGAGTTTGGTTTTGATTTGATTGTAAATGTGCCCTGGTTCTTCCCTCTTGAAATAAGAAAGTATTTAATTTTTGATTTTATAGGATCCCACAGTTGAAAGAGTTTGGATTTCAAAAGAGGCTTTGGATTTTTTTTAAGAGAATTTCTAAAGTGGTTGAATTTGTAAGTCTGTGGGACTTGTAAGTTAGAGAGTATCTTACAGTGTGATGTTAAAATTTGGGAAGGCACATGAAAGGAAAAGTTGTGGCGTAGTGGATGTGTTTGTGCCAAGTTGACAAAGCCAGTTACGCTGGCTCGTTTTATGTCAACTTGACCCAAACTGGAGTAGTTAGCAAGGGGGTAACCTCAACTGAGAAAATGCCCCAGGTCTGGCTGTAGGCATTCTCTTAGCGATTGATGTGGGAAGGTCCAGCCCATTGTGGGTGGGGCCATCCCTGGGTTGGTGGTCCTGGGTTCTGTAAGTAAGCAGGTTGAGTAAGACATGGGGAGCAAGCCAGTAAGGAGCATCCCTCCATGGCCTCTGCATCAGCTCCTGCCCCGGGTTCCTGCCCTGTTTGAGCTCCTGTGCTGAGTCCCCTCAATGATGGAGTGTGGTGTGGAGGTGTGAGCCAGCTAACCTCTCCTTCTCGAAATTGCTCCTGGTCGTGGTGCTTCACCACAGCAATGGGACCTAACGGGGCAGGTGACTAGTTAGAGGAAGTGTTGGGAATGCCTTGATATCTGCTCTAGAGCAGCGTGCTGTGCTAAAATGCCTGCCTCTGGTGTCACTAGAACTGGTGTCGGACAGGCTCTTGGTGCAACTGTTGAGTGTGACCAAAGATAGCCTGGGGAAGCATGCTGAGCCCTGGGCCTGTGACAAAGGACTACCTCAGAGCCCTTGGACCTCTCACTGCTGTTGCGGGACCAGTGCCAGGCGTGACTGATCTGCCTGGAAGCTGGCTCTGTAGTCTCACACTGGGAGGCAGAGTGGGGTCATCACTGTGACCCCATAAGTCCTAGACCCATGGAGGGAAGGGTGTCTTCTCGGCAGCTGAAGACACCGAGGCACCTGGAGGTCAGCAGACTGAATCAGAGGCTTGCTAAGCACTCTCACCTGCTGTGGCGAGAGTTGGGGCTGGGACCGAGGTCTCGACACCACTAGATCTGGCTAGCGGCCAGTGCCATCGTGGCTTAGAGTGTCACCCCTGGGCTCTGCCCACAGCAAACGTGTCAGTCGCCTAGTGTTTATGGGAATACACAGTCCTTTGCTCTCCTGAATCCCAAGTTTTCCATCTCTGAGATGGGGATTGCTCCTTCAGACGGCACCTGAAAGATGGCATAGAAGGCCCATGCGTCAGAATGAGACCCTGGCGTGAGCTGTAAGCAGGGGCAAACACCTTTCCAGATGCCTCTGAGTGTGTGCTTGGGGAGGGAGCGGTGGAGTGGGCTCTGGTGACTTCCTAGAGGAAGTCGGCTCTGCAGCTATCACAGTGTCTGCTGTTCCTCCCCAGGACCTCCACATTCCCAATGAGGACCGAATCAAGCAGCTGCTGGGGCAGGACGCCTGGACCTCACAGAAGAGCGAGCTGGCTGGCTTCTATCCCCGGCTCATGGCCAAGTCAGACACGGGCAAGATTGGTTTAATCAACCTGGGCAACACATGCTATGTGAACAGTGTCCTTCAGGCCTTGTTCATGGCTTCCGAGTAGGTGCTCTTCTGCTTTGCTCTGTTTCAACCTCCCTCCCTTCCTCCCTCCCTCCCTCCCTCCCTGGACAGGTTCTTACTCTGTACCTAGGCAAGCCTGCCTCAGCCTCCGAGTGTTGGTATTGTGGGTGCAGCTGCCACATCTCCCTTTCTGCCATTAAGAAAGTGCAGTGTCCGTCACCCAATCACCCGTGGCTCCTGGTACACCTTGTGGCTTGCTTGTCACATTGGGCACCAGATGAATATGGACGCTTAAAAGAAATCCCACACTGGCTCAGAATTGAGAATAATAGAGGGTTATTTATTGAGGAGTAGACTCATAAGTCACAAGTCTTCTGCTGGAGCGGTGAACAGCAACCGAATCCCCGAATCCTGCAGTCAGAAAAGAGGCCGGATGCTTGTCTTACATGGGTATAAATAGTATAAGGGGCCATGCCCAAGTGGGCGGGCAACTTAAAGGCTACTGGCTATAGGATTTCCTACAGCACCCTCAGGGCTCCATCTTTGGCTCTGGGAAGAAGAGCTCGTTCTGGCATGCCTCTGACCGTCAGTCAGTTTTCTCTAAGCAGGGCACCACTATCCTTAACTGCCTGCTGGGGTGAACTTTTGTGTTCTGCTTCCTGCAATGCCCACACGATGACTGCTGTAAAATACAGCAGAAGGATTTGCTGGAAAAATCCCTTGACTGTGTGAGGTCTTGTGATGTTAAGATGCTACAGCCCTCTGTGCTGCATCTAACCTTGTCTGAGACCTGCCACGGAGCGGAGCGCCGAGTGCTGCAGGGCTGGGTGGTGGCTCTGAATGGAGCAATGTGGGAGACCGACCTGCTGTGAAGGAAGGCAGTGTGCTTCAGGGACAGTGGGTCTCAGGACACCCTGACCCCACAGGCTCCATGCAGTGTTCTCTTGTGCCAAGGAAACCCTCTTTTAGAACCTGCCTAGTTTGAGGGCAGAGGCTTACTTAACTCAGTGTGGCTCTGGGCCAGGGCCCTGAGCAAGGGCCGCAAGAATGGGTTGAGGGCTGAGGTTGGGAGTGAACGAGTCGTTATTGTGTGAGTGTGCCAGTGCTTGGGGCGATGCTGTACCCTCTGGGACACCAGTGTGCCCACCTTCGAAAGCTGGCATGTTTGAGTCCTGGAGTCACGGGGTGTCAGAGCTGGAAGAGAGGGCAGGGGTCACCTTGTGGTCCTGTTTGTTGTGTCCCAAGGCCATTACAGAATTCATGGCCCCAGCCACACCAGACCAAGCTGTTCACCACCTACTCCCTGGTCTCTGGCCTCATCTGGAGCAAATGCCAGAGGCTCTGGGCGGCCAGGATAGGGGAGTAGTGGCTCCCTGGGGCTTTGGCTTAACCCTGGGCTCCTGTTTCTCTCGAAGCTTTCGACATTGCGTGCTCCGCCTGACTGAGAACAACTCGCAGCCCCTGATGACCAAACTGCAGTGGCTGTTTGCCTTCCTGGAGCATAGTCAGGTGCGTGCTGGGTGTGGGTGTGGGCGCAGTGGGGAGGGGAGGCAGTGCCTGGTCCTGCTGACACTGTTTGTGACTCCAGGACTTGCCTGTGCCTGGCTAGAAGTTCCCATTGTGTGGATTGAGCTGCTGAGCTCCAGCCCCTGCTGGTGCCAGTTCATAGCTAAACTTCCAGGCCCCTTCAGTATCCTGATGCAGGGGCTGCAGCTGGAGCCTCTTCTGGGCTGTGCAACACCAGCCCCCCTGCAGAGTTCAGTCCGTGCACTAACGCACTCTCGTCTGCTGACTGTGAACACCTCAGTTACCTGGGTCTCTGACCTGAGTATAGAACCCAAAGCCTGAGGCCAGGAATGCGGGAGAGCCTCTCTCTGGTGCTGGAAAGGTGGGGGTTGACGGCTCACAGGAGGGGGCGCAAGGCCTTGGGAAGGTGTCATGGAGGAGGCCTCTTGTACCCTGGGGACTCGTTTTGGCAAAGCAGGGGATTGGGCAGAGAAAATGATGAACAAAGGCCAGGAGAGACTTAGGTGGTCTGTGAGGGCAGAGCAGATTCCTAGAGAGTTATCACCAAAATGATGACGCCCACTCCTGGACCTGTGGAATGGGATGTGGGTCAGGACCAGCTGGGAAGGGGAGGGTAGGGGGCTGACGTATTTGGAACATCATCTTGATAGATTTCAGGGGCTGCCTGTTGCTAAGCATGGCTTGATCTTCTGATCCCACCTTTCACCTGTCCTAGAGGCCAGCCATCTCTCCCGAGAACTTCCTCTCCGCGTCCTGGACACCCTGGTTCAGCCCTGGAACCCAGCAGGACTGTTCGGAATATCTGAAGTACCTGCTGGATCGGTAAGAATCGCGGTGTGGGTCCTGAGAACACTTGGGGCGGCAGCTCGTCCCTCTGAGTAGGGTTGGATCTTCTTTGCTCTTCTGAAGGACAGAGACAGTGTGGACTGTAGGTGTCCAAGGATGCTGAAGTGCGTGTGAAGCCCGGGAGGGGCTGTCAGCGTGTGCACGAGTATCCAGTGTGCTGCATGAGCGTGCTAACCCTTATCACACAGCTCTAGGGCCACCTTTATGTAGGCGTGTGCTAGCTGAGAGTGTCAACACAGAAGGACAGGGATGGCATTTGTTTTGGCAGGCTCTTCATGTGTCTGAAGTATGGCGGGCAGTGTGCTGGAGGCGGGCCTGTGTGTCAGTGTGTGCACCCCGCCTGTCGGTCTGTGCACCCCGCCTGTCGGTCTGTGCACCCCGCCTGTCGGTCTGTGCACCTCGCCTGTCGGTCTGTGCACCCTGCCTGTCGGTATATACACCATGCCTCTCTGCTTGTTCCAGGCTTCACGAAGAGGAGAAAACCGGGACGAGGATCTGCCAGAAGCTCAAGCAGTCCAGCTTGCCCTCCCCACCTGACGAACTCCCTAGCTCCCACGTGACATCTGTGGAGAAAATGTTTGGAGGCAAGATCGTGACTCGGATATGCTGTCTGCACTGCCTCAATGTTTCCTCTCGGGAGGAGGCCTTCACAGACCTCTCTCTGGCCTTCCCTCCTCCGGAGCGATGTCGTCACCGCCGCCTGGGCTCGGTGATGCTCCCCACAGAGGATGTGCAAACCCAGGAGATGGCACTGACTCCCAGAACCCTGGCAACACAGAGGCAGAGGAAGCACTGTGTCACGGGGGATGCTCCCTGCATGGGGCTAGACATAGAAGGGCTGAGCATCACAGACACTGGTCAGGAGGAGAAGGTGGAGAGGGAGCAGGCCGGGAAGGAGAAGGAGGCCTCAGAGGAGGAAGAGGAGGAGGAAGGAGCAAGGGAAGAGGAGAAAGAGCAGGGGGAAGAGAAGGAGAAAGAGAAAAAGGAAGACGAAAAGGAGAAGGAAGCCGAGAACGGCAAGGAGAAGGAAGCAGACAGCTCGGGTCCAGGGACCCACAGGGATGCCGCCGTCCCACCCAGGGAGCAGGTCTGTGGCCCTGTGGGTTCCCGCTCCGTACTGGACCTGGTCAACTACTTCCTGTCCCCGGAGAAGCTGACAGCGGAGAACCGTTACTACTGTGAGTCATGCGCCTCCCTCCAGGATGCGGAGAAGGTGGTGGAGCTGAGCCAGGGTCCGCGCTACCTCATTCTTACGCTACTGCGCTTCTCCTTCGACCTGCGCACCATGCGGCGCCGCAAGATCCTGGACGATGTCGCCATCCCCCTCTTGCTGCGCCTGCCGCTGGCCGGGGGTCAGGGCCAGGCCTACGACCTCTGTAGTGTGGTGGTGCACTCCGGGGTGTCCTCAGAGAGTGGCCACTACTACTGCTATGCCCGGGAGGGCGCTGCCCGGCCGAGCCCCGTCCTGGGGTCTGCGGACAGGCCTGAGCCTGAGAACCAGTGGTACCTGTTCAACGACACCCGGGTGTCTTTCTCGTCCTTTGAGTCCGTCAGCAACGTCACCTCCTTTTTCCCCAAGGACACCGCCTATGTGCTCTTCTACCGCCAGAGGCCCAGGGAGGGGCTCGAGGCTGAGCCCAGCTCTCCCCGAGTTCGAGCAGAACCCACCCTCCACAAGGACCTGATGGAGGCCATCTCCAAAGACAACGTCCTCTACCTGCAGGTGAGTCCTCTGCTGAGGGTCGGTAGAGCTCCGGACACCCGATGCCACACCTGGGTGAGGACCTGGCCCCGTGCAGCCACCCACATAGGCCAGCTGCTTCTTCCGAGTCATCCTTAGTTTTAATCTATCCGCTCACTCGGCGCTTAGTGGGGGGATAGGTTGGCGGCTGGAACGGCACACCCTTAACATCAGGAGTGGACCCTGATGCTCAAAGAGTGGGATTAATGGGCAGGGACTGCCTCTGGGGCTCCTGGAGGGGCCACTTCTTCAGTGGCCTTCATGTCGCAGTGTTCTCCTTTGTCACTGCCTCAGGCTCCCTTATCAGAGTCCAGAGCCATGGGGCAGCCACACCAGAGCTCTGTGGGTCCTGCACCTAGAGTTGGTGTTTCCTCTGAGGACCGGGAGGGCATGGGACACCAGCCTGCTTCTACGATTGCTAGGCCCTGCAGCGGAGATGCGGCTTGGTGAAGTCTGAGAGAGGCTGATCTTATTTTAGCAGGGAAGGACCTGCTCATGAGCAGAAGAAGATGGACCTCATACCCCAGGAGAGGCAGCGAGGGGCAGTTGGAGGGGTTTTCTCGAGGTCCCAGGCAGGCATTCAGCTGGTCGTTATCTAGCGGTCATTGGGAGGAGAGTGTAGAGTCTGAATCTTAGACCTGAAGTTCTCCATCCTGCGCCTCTACAGGGGCCAGTCCGGGAGGGGGAGGGGCCTGGAGCTGCTGACAGTGTTGTGCTCCGCCTACTTCCTGTCCTCATCTTTCCAGGAGCAGGAGAAGGAGGCCCGGAGCAGAGCTGCTTATATCTCTACACTCCCTGCCCCTCCACACTGGGGTCGGGGCTTTGATGAAGACAAAGACGAAGATGAAGGCTCTCCAGGGGGCTGCAACCCTGCAGGTGGCAATGGTGACTTCCACAGACTGGTCTTCTAACGGGAACTCCCACCTGTGGGGGTGTCGCAGTCAACCTCAAGAGTGGGCCAGGTGGGGCTCAGGGCCCGGGCAGAGCACCCTGCCGTCTGGGGTCTTAGGAAGCTGCGGAGGCAAGCCTAAGGCGAAGCAGGTCCTTTCGAGGGCAAGGAGGATGGAGAAGGGACCATCTGGGGTGTCAGCCTACAGCTGAGGGTCACGGAGAAGCTGAAACCCAAAGCTCCTTGGGCAGCATCCTGTTAAGAGGTTCCAGTCGGAGCAGCCTGGATGAGCCCACTCTGGGCTTTGCCTCCCTGCAGGCCCGGGCAGCTCAGGAGCCGGGGTGGCGTCCCTTTGGTGTCCAGCATCCGGTAGCCCTTACTTCTATTCTGGTTCCTTCACCCAGTTCTTCCTCGGTAGGAGAAAAAGCACAGCTCAAGTCAAGCCCTTGCACCAAGAAGGGGGGGACTGTGTTCCTTCTGCCTGCCCTCTAGTTTCTTCAAGGGGGTCCCTAAAACGAGATCTGTGGGTGCCTACACCCGCCGTGTGTTTGAGGCATTAGTGGAAGGCAGCATAGCACAGGATTGGAGGTAAGAGTCTTACCTGCCCCCCACCCCCCAGGCAAGCCACTGGGAGAGCCCCGTCCCTCCCTCCCCAGCCTGCCTCAGTGCCTGCGATGCTGCCAGTGCATCGCCGTCTGGTTAAGGTCCCGGGTCCTCGCCCTACTGAAGACATTAGTCTGTCGAAAGCCATTGTCGTTTGAGGGAGCTAGCTGGCTTGGCTCCTCTGCTAGAATGTGCGGGCTGGGTAGGTATGAACTGTGTGATCCACACAACCTCATTGTGCCCCGAGACTACTATAGCCCTTCTCAGTGGAGAAGAAACCTGTGTTCTTAATAGGAATAAAACTTGCTTCTCTGGAGCCTGTGCAGGTTGCTGTTCTTCCAGCTTGAGCTGTGGCGTCTGCTATCCTCTGGGATGCTCGCTTGTGTCTAAGCAGTTTTGACAGAAACTTGCCCCCGCCCCCCATAGGTAAGATGAGGATGTGCCCATGACCTGGGGACTTTAGATGTAGCAAGGAGGTGCTTGGTGCTAAGGTCTTGGAGGCTCCCGAGCTGGCAGCCTCCTGGGGCAGAGAGAGCAAGGGGGGTAGCTGGGGGTGCTTCACGGGATAACTTGGAGCAGACTGGTTTGCTGGGTAAACACAGAAACCCAACAATGACTTTTCAGATTCTGAAAATTCTGAGCCACTGCCTTCCTCTATCCCCTCTCTGAGGAGGTCATAGCCTGTGCCTGGCTAGATGAGGTGTGGGCTGGGATGAACTGGGAAGCAGGTCTCCAATAATCCAGAATCAACAGCTCTTTTTAAAAAGATTTTATTTTATTATTATTATTTTTTATTGTATGAATGTGTGTCCGAGTGTCTGTGTACCAAGTCTGTGAGGAGGCCAGTAGAGGGCACCAGCTCCCCTGGAACTGAAGGTACAGGTTGTTGGGAGCCACCTGAGGTGGGTGTTGGGAACCAAACGGCTGAGCCATCTCTCCAGTCCCAAATATCCAGCTTTGTCCTCGGGTTCCCGTCACAGTCTTGAAGCCGAAGAGGGACATGGGCAGCTGTGAGTACAGGGAGGGTCTGGGACCGGCCTGCACCCCAAGTCCCCTTCCATGCTTACTTGTCCTCTTAGGAACAAAGCGGCTCAGAGGTCATGATGGGGCTGTGACAGGGCTTTCATGGGCTGCGGTGGAGGTTTTGGTCCAAATGCCGGACTCCCAAGCTGTCGGGGAAACTGATCATCCTGCCGCTGCTTCAGCTTCTGGAGTGCTGGATTACAGATGTGCACAACCATTAATGCCAGATGCTGGTCTGAGAAAGGAGGGTCCGTCCCTGTCCCTGTCCCGGAAAAGTGCCCAGCCATCGGCACAGAACAGAGCTGGGCACACCGGCTCCCAGGCCTGTTTGTCAGAGGTGTGGCCGTATGACAGCGTGGGTCTCAAGGCTGCCCAGGATGGGACAAGAGTAAGTTTCCGCGCCCTGAAGGCGATCTCCAGTGGCCCACTCTGGGTGGCACTCCCAAAGGACTTCATTGTCCTGCTTCTACACAATAGTGGAAAGGACCCGCCAGCCCCAGACCTGTGCTATCTGTAGTCACCGCCGCAAAAACACAACTCACTTGAACACACTTCCCTCCCCACCCCCAGACCTCACATGATAAATACATGTTACAATTTTTTTGAAAACAGAATAAATTAATAACTTAAGTGATTAGGCACCAACAATGATTTGAAAAATTAAATGTCGATCTTAATGGGAACAAGAGACAAATGTAAGACTAGGCTTGCTTCTACTTCATTTTCTCTTCCCCACAAACACTGACAGTCCTGTGTGTGAAAGGGTTCTAAGTTTCAAGACACAAGTAGCCAATAGGTTACACAAGAACACACATCACCAGATACCACGACAGCACAGATCACCACTAGGCGCTCCTGTCAAGTCTGGCTCCTGCCGGGTCCGGGGCCCAAATATGGCAAGTCCCACAAAGATGGCCCTCCAAGGTTAGCCTGCTTATCCACACTTCACAGCCAGAGGCCCAAATGGAGAGAAGGAGCTATCTCTCAGCCTTCAAAACTCGGCTGTAGGGAGGGGAGGGGGCCATGGCTGGGACCATGGCCACTGGAAGATAGAGGCCCCAAAGGCAGACTGGACCCAGACCCACGTTCCAGTAGCTTCAAATGGTTGTGCTTCGGTTCTGGGAATGGGGCTGATCTTCATGGAGTCAAATACAGCTAGGGAGGGGTGGAGTTACTGAGCTAATGTTCTGTGTGCTGCCCCTCCCCAGTGACCCAGACCTTCAGAGGATCCCCCCCCCCCCCGGGTTCTCTTTACAGCCACAGAGCATCAGCTGTGACCACCCCATGTCAGACTGGCAAGTCTCAAGGAGATGCCATCTCCTTCCTTCACAGAGGGCGGAGCTAGAAGAGTCCCTGCAGGACAGGACAGGTACTTGTGGGATCTATGCTAAGAGGTGATGAGTGGTTTTGATCTCAGTCCTTGACAGCCACCAGGAGAGGTGAACTTTGACCCATGGGTAGGCCAATTGAATTGGCTTTTTCCTATTTGGAGGTTGGAGGATGGGTTGGTAGGTACATTAGACATGGTTAGGAGTTGGAATCAGAGCAAGACTAACTAGACTTGGACACCGGATTCCGTCTTGATAAGTGGCAGCCAGTTCCACACTCAGCTCGGAACACGCACTCTGGGGTGGCTGCTGAGGCTGGGGATACCTGGACCTGCTGTGAGCTCCAGCAGTTCCAGCCAGAGCTTGGTCACATGGGAGCCCCGTTGGAGAGTCTTAGAGGGTGCCATGAGAATCGGGGAAAGCCAGTACCCTGTAACTCTGTTCAGAGCAACCAACCGCAGCCCCCTTACTCAAGGGGACAGCACACACCTCTGTGGCTGGCTTCACACCTTCAAACACCTTCTGTTCTCTTCTGTCTTCTCCGGGACCCAGCCACACCTACCTTTCTGTAAGGCTCACTCTGCTCTCTCCTGGACGCCTTCCTCCCCAGGGCACAGTCTCCCTACCCATCCGCTGTACTTTTAAATTCCTAGTCATTGTCTTACTTTTCCCACTGATTGTGACCTTGTTAGGTTTCATCTGTAGCACAGGGCTTGTTAGCCATTCCCAAATGACCCATCCTCATGGGAGAAGAGGGCTGTTACTGAGGGGGGACGTAAGGTGTGCCCTGGTTTTAGAGGACAGTGGTCTGTTCATCTGGGACAGAAAGAAATGCTGGTTTGCCCCGTTTGCTCAGAATTTCTTGAAGACCTGGTCAACAGCTTTCCACACAAACACATTCAGATCTCCCTGCCATATCTTAAGAGCCTTAGGGAATGTCTGCTTCTCGTCCCTCTGATGCCGTGGAAGGACAGGGATACTCTCGACCATCCCTGCAGAGAAGAGAGCTGAGAAGATCTGGCCGGGCCCTTGGTCAGAGGTGCCTCTGTTGGGCACAAGCCGTGACCCAGACCCTTGTGTGGTCCCTAGATTTGATTAAGTGTAGCTCCTTCCCATCCTGCTTCCCGCTGCACTCCTCTCCTGCAGGTGGCATTGGGCTCACCATCAGGCCCTTGGGACACGCCTGCCTCCCCAGTTCCTCAGCCACCTCTGCACCCTCCTACCTCCTAGAAACCTGCTTTATGTGCCATCGCTGCCACAGTGTTCCTGTGTTGCTCTGTGCCTACCACACCCCGTCTCAGGGTCCCCCTGCCTCACCCCTACTTTCTTTCCCACTCTGTCTTGCCGTTCCATCAGGGCCAGGGAAGAACACAGCCTGTCCCAGAGTGGTAGAGTCCTTTAGCCCCGGGGTTTGTCACCTCGAGCCCTGTTCTTTGTTCCTGGTTGCCTGTCATCGCGTTTTCCTTCCTCCTGTCCTTCCTCCTTAGCCTCTCCCAGTCTACAGCAGCGGTGTACCAGAACCTGATCCTGGGTTCCACCCTGCAGGTGATCAGCTACCCTTCTGTGCCCGGGAACCTAATTTCTTTGTCACTCAAGGTGACTTCTGACCTTCAATTCTTCTTCCTGTGGCATCTTGTCTTTCCCTTGCCCCAAACAGCAAGGATCTGAAAGCCCACGTCTACTTTAGTCTGTTGGTCCTCGGCTCCCTGGTTAGCATCCTCGAGGGATGGAGAAGTGGCCCTGAGGTAGAGGGTAGAGAGCGGTGAGCAGACAGGAGACATGAGCCTGGCTCAGAGCCTCAGCCCTCCCTCTGAGTCCAAGCAGCAGACAAATGGGTCCAAAGCAGGAGACTATTTTTTTTCTTTCTTTTTCTTTTCTTTTTTTCTTTTTTTGGCAACAGCTCCTAACTAAGGTGGCGGAGGCACAGCTAGTAGTAATGACAAGTCACGGGTGGACCCCAAGTGGCAGAGGCAGTGTCTCCATCAGGCCCTTGCCTCCAAGGGGGACGGGTCGGGGTCCCTGACTTTGAGTGCTGGAAGTGGCACAGAGGAGAGGAGGTGTGTGTGGGGGGACGGAGAAGGAGGTGGCAAAGGCCAGCGCTGAGCAGCCGCCTCGTGGCATCACAGCTTGGCACCCTTGGAAGGCTCTGAGGACTGCCGCACATCTGTCCACTCCTGCATGGTGTTCTGCAGGGCCTGCGTCTTCTCCTTGTCCACTTGGACATAGTCCACCTTCTCGTCCGAGGTGACAGATGAGGTGGATGGCTGAGGGGACAAAAGGGACGGACTACGGGTTACCCATCAGGCTGGCACTGTGAGCGGCCTCAAGGTCTTGTCTGCGCACCATGTGGACTTCACAGGGCAATCTCACGTTGGAGGCACGAGGCCTGCTGGCACCTGCTGCCCAGGTTTCAGGGTAACCCCACCCACTGCACCTGGGCCCAGCCGCTGGTTCAGGCCTTGGCGAATGCCTCCAGCCATCTTCCTTTGAAAGGAAAGGGCTGTGTTCCCACAAAAAGGGATAAGCGCCGGGCCTTAGAGCCCTCACAACATGCTGAGGGCAACTGTTGAAGGGGGCTTCCTCCTTGCTGTCTGGGCTGAAAGCAGCTCTTGGCGAGGCTTTCCTGGGCCCTGAAGTCCCTTCCAAGGGCGCTGTGTCTTCTCCATCATGGCTCTCGGCCTCATCCAGACAGGTTTTTAAAGGGTAGAGAGACAGGACCTCCATGTCTTGGATTGTTCCCTGAGCACTCTGTGTGGGTGTATCCCACAGTAAGGAAATGGGCAGACTAAGGGGACTGGTGCCCTGCACCCCCAGTTAAGGTGCCATGAGTCATAGGAAATGTCCCTGGCATGGGTCTCTTAATCCCCAACCTCCAGTTACCTTGCGGTGAGGGCTCGGGGAGCCAGGCTGAAAGTCCAGGGCTAGGTAATCCACACTGCCGGTGCTCTTCTTCGGAGCCGGGCTGTTGGTGCCGCTGGGAACAGGGGATGCAGACACTGGGTTTTGCTGAGACGTAGAGGAAAGCTGGGTAAGTTCAGCAGCCAAAAACCGTCACCTTGAAAAACGTATCAGGGCAAGAGCTCCCGAGTCTACTGAGCCGTGCACGGTGACTTTTCATAGTCTCATTTAATTAAGTCTTCGTGGCAGTCTGGGAGGTGGCTATCACTACTGTTGAAATCACTAAAGGCTAAAAACCTAGATTCAGGAAGGAGAGCAAGACAGCCACAGCGCCACAGCTGGTGTGGGATGAGAGCCAGGGATTTTTTT